AAAACAGGAAGAATGATATTTGGTTGCTAAATATTACTCAAATGTTAAGTGCATCTCACAGCATGTGCATGAAGCAGAAAGCAGAAAGTATACAGCATCCTTAATCTCTTATTATGAATACTGCAAATCAAAGAAGAAATGTTTTACAATGAATTTACCCTTTGAAATAGAAATTCCAATAGTATTCTGGAATAGAAATTCCAATAGTATTCTTCATTCAAAATTCTGCACTTTGTGTTCTGTATCACTTTTGGGTTCTTTATTATTCATATTTTAACTTATTTTAAATATGGGTTTTCTTCAATATATAGTTATGGAAATTAAACAGCATGAAAAAATAAGTGCTTTTGAGTTACAGTCATAGTTTGTATAAAAAAATATTAACTCCTTTGAGTCCAAGAATAAACTTCTCTATATTTTTTCTAAGAAATGTTTAACAGGCTGGTACCATGTTTCAAAGTAAGTTTCTTTCCACCAATTGGATCATATAGCTTCTGGTGACTTTTTTTTTTTTAATTAAACTTAATAGAAGTGGCATCTTATGTATGAAACCAGACACATCTACCAAAAGCTAACATAAAAAAAGGGAAAAGAATTTAGGGCTCTCAAGGCAAATGTGTTTTGAGAACAAAAATAATAGTTTATTATACCATATTCTCCTGGCTACTTATGACTATTTAGACAATGCTGGTACTCTCAAGATATTGATAATCTAAGACATTAATAATACACTAGTAGATTTTTAAAAAATCAAACCTAAATTTCTGCTAAAAATGCCATGACACTTAACAAAGAAAGTTATTTAGCAATTTGTAATACCTGGTTATGAGCTGTACTCCAGCACTTTCAGTTGTTTGAGAAGTCTACAGATTTCAGTGTTCTGTACAGATTCATAAGTCCTTAATTCATAAGTCATTTACTATAAGAGAGATGGAATTTTTTAAGGGGAAAACTTGCTTTGGATTGATTCACAGTAATTTAGTAGCACACACATATTTCTAAATGTTTTTTATTCTATGAGAACACAAGCTGGAGCAGAGCACTCTGCATGCACTACAGCTATACAACACAGAAATAATGGTACTTTATAATATTTGAAATAATTTGGCAACCCAGCTTAATAAATCTGTACTAAGTATATTCTCTATCCATAACTCTTTATCCACATTAATGCTGACAATATCATCTATTTCATCCTTATGGAAAGACAGAAACAAGATCTTTGGCAAAACATTCCCTTTGTCAGTGGCCAGTGTTTTTCGTCATGGACCTGCATGTTTTCTTTCCAACACTTCAGATCTCTGTTTACTAAAATGATGATTTACCATTTTCAGCTTCTAGGTTATTCTGAGTTTTGAATTTTCAAGTAAGAGCTAGAGCTTGCTGCACATTTGTACTATGGTATTTCACAGGGAATAGTGATTCCACTTTAGAATGCTTACCAACAGTTCAGCATTGGTGCCACGACCTTTAATGTCGAGTACTTTTGTGAAGTTCTGGATATCTTTACCTATTCATTCAGATCATGTTAAAGTTTATCATCATATAAAAGCACTTTTGGAGTAATTTTTAATTATCTTATCATGGACATAAAAGACTACATGGTCAAAAAAGACAACGGATTGGAATGGAGATTAATGGACTTCCTTAACTAATTCTGCAATTTAATGTAAACAGCATCTTTCAAAACTAGAGAAAAAACATTTCTTTATTTATTTTAAATGGGGGACAAAGGAATGTGACCCTAGTAAGAAAACCCTTCCTCATGAATTGCAGGGGTTTTGGCATGTAACTTCCTGAAGAATTTTAAACTTTTGAGCTAATAATGCAGTTTTGCTTTCCTTCTATGTAATGCTTCAGAAAGACAGGCTTTTTTCCAAAGGCAAAAAAGGTATGAAGAGTTTTTCCCCACTTTTGATATGCTTCCAGTGATGCTTGTATCAACCATGAACAAACTAACATTTGGTAACTTAACATTTTAAGGATTTCAATTAAAACACTTGTAAATAACTGATCAGGGTCACAATAAAGCAACTAATCTCATTCCTGTGTTCTGTTTTGCTCCAGCTACTAAATTTAGTGATATACCTATGTATTTTGCCATCTCCTACATCCATTTCTTAAAAACAAATCTGTCCTAATGAAGAACCAGTATAAAACTGAATTAATGTTGAAATCCTTTCCTCTACATATCTGTGATGCTTTAAAGAAACAATACTTTTTGTCTTGAAAGAATGCATTGAGTTACTGCTACTGAGAGAGCAATTACTGTGTTTTTAACATTAAACAGACTCCTTTTCTAATTGACTTTAAATCTGAGCAGGCAGAAGTTTAATAAACAATTTATGTTTCCTCTTCTTCAGAGACAGCCTAATTTTCATGCTGAAATCTGTCATTTTTCATACTCATAATTTGACCTTTCTGAAAATAGCTGCTGAAGTTAGTGAGTGGGTAGCGGTTTTTTAGTTCTACCAAAATGCTTTTTCTTTTAAAGATCTGATTTACTACCTCTTATGTATGTCAAAGGGCAAATTCAGAGGGACAAGTTGTTTGTTAAACAAAAGTAATGTAATTTTTTTATATGAGCCCTTGTGCAATAAATCTCTCCCATATCAAACTACGGTGAGTTTATCTGTGTGCATGAAGAGCTGTTAGAAACTGGAATTCCAGAGCTATTTTCTGTGTCCATTCCCACTGCTTGCTCAGTGCCTGCACATATTTAAAGTATGCAAGTAAGATACAACTGGTTTTTCAAAAGTCAACAGTTAAATGAATGTGTGTTGGGGGTTGATCACAGGCCAAATGCCAGTGTCCCCACAAAAATCACTCAATCTCCTCTGCTATAATTAAGGAGTAGAGGGGGAAATAAAGCACCTTAATGGGGTGAATTGAGGTAAGGATTGGGAAGAAACACCTTAAGAGCAAAAAAGGCTCAAAACTTAAAAGATATAAAGAAAAATGTATTAACAGTATTAAAAGAAGATTATGACAACTAAAATAAACCTTCAGAACATCTTTAAAACCCACTCCACGCACCGCCCCCCNCCACCCACCCTTCTTTCTTTCCCAGTGACAGAGCAGGGAAACAAAAACATAGGATTTTTAGTCAGTTTGTTACTTTTAAAGATCTTTCTTCATTTAGGGAGAGAAGTCTCCTTTGCTATGCCATGGGGTCTTCCCCATGGGAGACAGTTTTCTGTGAATATTTCCAACACGGTTCTAATTTTCCTGAGTAGCAGGCCTGCCTGAAAACCAGCTGAAACACAAGTTCCTCCCACGGGCAAAAACAGTCTTCCCAAAACTGCTTCTTTTCATGGGTCATTTAGTTCATGGGGTTTTAAGGATAAGTTGTATAAAATCAAGAGTCGTCTTTCTTCTATCTCTGGAATAGAGAGTTCTCTTTCTCTCTGCTCAAGCCTCCCACCAGATCACAGGTTTTCAGCATCCACATGTTCCAGTGTGAGCACCTTTTCTGCATGGGCTGTGGGTAAATTCTGCATCCCCACACGTGCTTCATGAATTATAGGGAAACAGTTTGTTGTATCATAATCCTCACCACGCTTTCCAGAAGAATCTCAGCTCCAATGCTCAGAGCACCTCCTCCTCCCCCTCCCTCCTTTACACCACCCTCAGAGTCACCATGTTGTTCTCCTTTTCCTTTTCTCTGAGTCAGGAGAGAATCAGTGTTCATTGGTTCATTTATTCTCAAGTTCTATCAAGTGGAACAGTCTTTATAGAGTTTTGCAGTGCTGAAAGGTTGATCTTGTCCAGGCTCCACACTGGGGAATCGCTCGTTGTGCTTCTGCTCTTGGTCACGTGTCTTTGCCGACACTGCGCAAGACGTGCCGGCCACCGGTTCCAGTCAGCGTCCCTCCTCACGTGGGGTACTGAAAAAAAGAAAAAGCTGCTGCTGTTTCTGTCCTTTCATTTGCGATGTGGCAGGTTAGAAGTGGCCAGGCAGGCAAAGTCTATTGCTGGCTGTGCCAAGATGGTGGTGGCCACATGCCCACTTCTGGCCCCAGCCACTCTGAGTCTCAGCCAGGGCCGCTCCTGGCACAGGCCACATGGCTGCTCACGGCGCCAGGATGGCCTCCGGTGGCATGGCTGATGGAAAAGGGACTGGTGGGCTCCTCTGGGAAGGCACCCGGCCTGTCCCCTCACCCCTCCTCACAGGCGAGGGAGAAAGTGAGCTTCCTGCATTTTTGTCTTTCTTAAGTATGTTATCACAGAGACATTACCAGCTTTTCTAATTGGCTTAGCAGCATGTCTATTCTCGGAGCCAGCCAGCGACTGGTTTTTCCAGGCATGGAGGAAGCTTTTAGCAGCTTCTCACAGAAAAAATCACTTCCATGGCTGGGTCCTTCCCTCCTCACCAAAAATCAATTTATGCAAAACCAACACAGTGTGCTTTCCTAAACCTTACAGGAAACTCCCATGAGAGCACCAACTACTGAAAAGGAGAACACAATGTCCATATTTTATATATATATATATATATATATATATATATATATATATGCCATCAGCTGATTTTGTTCACAAAAAGAAGACTGTAGAGATTTGTGGAGATTTTTGAAAGCTGTAGTTCTTATGGCTTATCTTATAAAATAGATTTGCCATGTAATAGAGTAGACACCTTCTGCTTTAGATCATGTGCCTATTACATGTGATAGGACACTGTTTCTGGTTCTGTCATGGCCCTATAAAAAATTCTGAGAAATAAAGTTTGAGCAAAAAAACCCAAGAAAAATACCATATCCTGTTAAAAAACATACTTCTACTCAGCTGGGATGTCTCGTTGCGGGAACCCCTCGGCAGTTGCTGTTGGGGTGACGACCTTCCCAAGAGCAATCCCCTCTCGATCTGGGCGACCAGCTCCATCAGCCCACCTAGCACTCGAGCTTGGATATGGTAATAAAAGCCTGACCAGACAGACAGGAGGACTCCTTGCTTGGTAGATCCAGCAGGGTTTATTGAAGGAAGGTCTGAGGGCCCAGGTGGGGTAAGGGTGAGGAGAGCACACAGGAGCATGACCTCTGCCAAAGGGAACCAAGGCAAGGAGCCCAGAACAGGGGAGGGGCCAGGGAATATAACTGGGGAAAGGTAGGAGGGGTTAGGGTACAAATGAGCCAGTGGGACTGGGAAGAAGGGAGGAGCTGGGATAGGGTGACTCAATGACAACCAGTGAGAAAGGAGAGGAGAGTGGTTTCTCGGGGAGGACCAATGGGGGAGTAGGAGGGGTAGAAGTTTCTGGAACCAGGGGAGGAACAGCAACCTATTTACAGAGACATTTGCATGGGCAAACAAAGGATCATGGGGAGTCTTTAATCCTGATCTACACAATGGTGTCTCCCTATGGCATTCTATCTCTGTCCTCCCTATGGCCACCTCCCACATCTCCCCCTTTCTTATTAATTAAAAATGCTTCACCCACAGTCTTTTGGATGGCTTTCTTAAAACATACCATAGCTATCATAACGATGGCAATGATGATAAAAATCCAGGCAAGACCTTTTAAAATGAGGGCAGCCCACCCGGGGATTCCCCAGCATCCAAAAAGTTCGTCCACCCAGTCTGTCTTTTCCACTTGTATGTTCTTCACTTGTTCTTGAAGAGTCTTGATGTTGGCTTGAATGGAGGTGCTGTGTGTGGATAGGTTGAAACAGCAGAGCCCTGTGAATTCTTCACACCCATGGCCATGGGCGAGCAGCAGAAAGTCAACTGCCGCTTGATTTTGCAACATGGCGTGCCTGGTGGTTTCTTCGTCTGCCAATAGGTCTGCTAGCGCGGCAGACGTAGTGTTGGCCGGTTTACTAAGCCAACACCTCAGGTGAGAAAGCTCACCGAGGGCCTTTGCAGCGGCAACCCAGGGTAGGAAAATGGATACCACGACCCTCTTCGTTCTTCCCCAGTTGTAAATTTGGCTATTACAATCTGGATCAAATTCAGAGTAAGTTGTCTTTTGGCGGGTCAATTTCATGTTCCTACTCCAGTCGTGTAATACAGTAATGTTTGGGGTGAGGGTAGTCAACTGGCCAAGGCTGCAGGGACCCCCTTTTATTTTGGAGGGGATTCCTGCCCATACCCTCTCACCACAGATAAGGAACACACCTCTCAGGAGCATCCTGGGATAAGGAATGGACTCAGATGGTGTTGCGCTGGTATAGTTACACCATTCTGCTATATTGTAGCATTTGCCATTTGGCGAGACATCTTTCTGAGTAACACTTTGTGATCTCATTGTATCTTGCCAATTTTTCCTCGCCTCGTAAGCAAAATTGATACAATAACTTGCCCTGGTGGAGCGCAGTAGATCTAACTCCTGGCGCTCCTGTGGTGCACGTGGGAGAATCCTTGCCCATTCATCCCAGGTGTCCATTGGGTTGGGTTCCTTACCTACCTATGGGTATTCGTTTGGTGACAGGGGGATCCCTACCAGGCACATCGAGAGCAGGTCATTCACACTTCCCATGGCCATGCAGAGATTGTCCTGTTGCAAAGACCTTGCTAAGCTGACCCAGACGTTTTCTTTTGGTTGGGGGACGATCCAACCAGTGGTCACTTGGAGGGTCACGAGGGCACCGATGAAGATGACAATGGTGATGAGGCTCGCGCTATTGTGGGGTATCCCTGGGATTACTGCAGTGGAGGCCATGCTTCCCATTGTTTTCACTGGAGAATGTTTCCTTGTGGGTGACAAGGGCATATATCAGTTAATTTTACCTTTTTCTTCATCCCCTATAAATCTCTAAACTTCCTTCTTCAACCCCCTTCGCCCCCTCTTTTCAATTGGGTTTGCGGGAAAGAAGGGAAGTAGGGAAGGGAAGTGGGAAAGGAGGAGGGAGGGGAAGGAGGAATGAAGAATAAGGATGGGAGGTTATTGGTAAAAAAAAAAGGTGGGAAGACTAAAGGTATATCTGTGTTGGAAATTGAGGTGAGTGTCATGGATGGGACATATCTGTGGGTTGTCAATGTCTGTGCTATGATGTTTGGGTAAGTCCATTTCCTTTTCCTCCATGACCATGAAAAGGCGGTTTCAGGGGCACGGTGCTCAATAGAGTTGACATGATGTTTCTCAGGAGAACTATCTTCTCACGAATGGTTGAGGTAGGGTTTAACAAATTTTCCTGGAATCCACCTATGTCTAGTGTCTGTGGAAACACAAGCAAAGCCTCTTCCCCAAGTGATGAGGGGGCAAGGGCCTTCAATAACCTTTGATTCAGGGTCTCAGATGAGCACTGGGGGTTTCTCTTTGAGATGTGCATGTGTAGTATTGTGAAAGTGCCTAAGAATTGGGAGATTGGGCTCCTTCTGGGAGCAGTTCATGAAGTTTAAAACATCAAGTGCTTTTGCACAACCTCTCTTTAGGAGATGTGGTAATGGCAGCATCATGTTGTTGCTCAAGTAATTTTTTAATTTCCTTGTGTGCTCTCTCTACAATCAATTACCCTGTAGGGTTGTGGGGAATGCCAGTAGTGTGGGTGATCCCCCATTGCTGTGTAAATTCTCTAAAGTGCTTGGAAACAAAGGCAGAACTGTTATCGGTCTTAATATTCCTGGGGAGTCCTAGTGTAGCAAACGCCATATAGAAATGCTTAATAATATATCTCGATTTTTCTCCTGCATGGCGTGACGCAAACACCGCCCCTGAAAAGGTATCAATAGAGACGTGTATATATTTCAGTCTGCCAAATGAGGGATAATGGGTGATGTCTGACTGCCAGAGCTCACGGGCTCCTAAGCCGCGCAGGTTGACACCCACTGGCACTGATGGTAACGAGAATGACTGACAGTTTGGGCATGTCACAACGACTGCTTTGGCCTGCTCGGTGAAGATTTTAAATTGCTGGTGCAAAGCAGGAGCATTTTGGTGATAAAAGCGATGGCTGAATTCAGCATGTTGAAAAGTGCTTGGCACATTGTGTGAGGACAGACTTGTGGTTGCAGGCATGGCTAAAAGATCAGCTGTTCGTTAGTTTGTGAAAGAGCATCCAATTGGTCCATGGTGTATGGTAGAAAGATACACACCGGGTCACACCCTGCAAGGGTCTGAAGGTGATGTCTAACTTAAAGTAATAACTGAGCTATCATTTCCTGGGGAGGTGTTAGTGTCTTCCGGAGCTGATGTGCAAAGAACAGCCATTTAATAATAAGCAGTGGGTCTTTCCAAGCACTATCCCATTGAAAAATGACAGCATGGTGGTGGGGTGCCCTACCTAAGATTGGCACATTCAGTGGGAAGGACCGATCCACGTGGTAGGCCTGATGGGATGACATGGCAGCTGCGACCCTCTCTAGGGCTTGACAGGCCTCCGGTTTTAATTCTCAGGGAGAGGCAAGGTCACTGTCACCACGCAGCAGGTTGAAGAGAGGCACCAACGCCTCGGTGGTGAGGCCCAGGAGGGGTCAGATCCACGTGATCACACTGCAGATTTGTTGCAGGTCCCACAGGGTCTGTGGGTCATCCTTGATGGTAAGGCTTTGGAGGACAATGGTCCTTCCCGTAATATGAAATCCTAAACACTTCCATGGGCTGGTGTCGTGGGGTGACAGCCTTTATCCCAATATCGTGTGTTGTGTCTGGCAGCTGCGCCTTTTCCTCCCCCGGCCGTCTTGCCGCGGCGGGGCGGGGAGGGAGGGGTGTGAGTGTGACCAGGCACCTTGGCTTTTGGCTTTTGGCTGCTTGGCTTGGCTGGCTTGCTTGCTTGCTTGCTCCTGCCTCGGCTGATAGCTGCTTTTTTGCCGCTTTCTGCTTTCTACACTGTTTTTTTCTTTTTCTTTCGTTCCCTCTTTCTTACCCTCCCCCGAAGATATTGGACCGGCTCCGGACCTGACCTGGGACATCCAGGACCCCCGGAGTCTGCGAGAGAAGCTCAGCGCCCTCCACAGCACTGCCTGGTTTTCTTTTCTTTTCTTGTGTTGGGGAGTGTTCTTTTGTTATTTGTTAATAAATAGGTTTTGTTTTCCACTGTGCTCCTCCAAGGAATTCTTTCCCGAACCCGGTATTGGGGGAGGGGTGGTTGGAGGTTTTTTTTTTTAGGGAGCTCCCTTTTGGAGATTTCCCCTAATTTGTCCTAAACCAGGACAGTTGGAAAGCTGTACTCTGTCTGACTCAATTTGGAATCCGGCGTCTTTGATGGCTGTCATTCTCTTTTCAAGTGCAGCCTTAAGGTAAGGCTCCGTGGGAGCACACACAAGTATGTCATCCATACAATGTAATAACACTGCCTCAGGGAAAAGCTTTCTCACCGGAGATAGGATTTGCGCAACAAATGTTTGGCAGACCACGGAGCTGTTTTTCATGCCTTGTGGCAAAGTGACCCAATGGTAGCATTTGTACAGCTCTTTTCGGTTGATGGAAGGTACTGAAAATGCGAATCTAGGAGCGTCTCCGGGGTATAGTAGTATGTTAAAAAAGCAGTCCTTGATATCAAGGACTGTGAGTTGCCAATCCCTCAGAAGCACAGCGGGGAAGGGGAGGCCAGGTTGCAAGGGGCCCATATCTTCTATAACTTCATTTACCTTGCATAGATCCTGGAGCAGGCGCCATTTATCTTTGCCTGGGTTTTTTATGACAAAAACTGGGGTATTCCAGGGGCTGTTTGATGGAACTATGTGCCCCAGACACAACTGGTCCTCTGCCAGTTCACTGAGGGCATTTAGTTTGTCCTCAGGGAAGGGCCACTGGCCCACCCACACCAGGTCATTGGTCTTCCAGGTAAGTGGTGGGGTGGTGCGCTCTGCAGTGGCCCAAGCTAAAAATCCCAGGTGGCATTGGGGATATCTAACCAGGCCCCCCATTGGGATAGGACATCTCTTCCTAGCAAGGCAATATTGCAGATGGTGATATACGGCTTGACGTACCCAATTTGCCCCTTAGGTTCCTCTATGCTTACCAGATATTTGCTGTGGAGGGAGTTGACAGCTCCACCGATGCTGGAGACTGTGCTGCAAGGGGGCATCAACTCCCAGTCGCAGCGCCACTTGGCTTTGGGGATGATGGTGCCATCAGCTCCCGTGTCTGCCATTAGCGTGTGATCAAAGTATTTGTCCTTCTGCGAAATGGTGGTCAGCATATTTGGTCTTTCCCTGCTTAAGGCTTGAAAAACAAAGACATTGACATTTTCAGTCAGGTTCAGAGTTTTGATCAGGCAGAATGTACATTTGTGCAAAAGGGGAGAGTCTGCACAGAGTGAATGGAGGGGTGGTACAGGACATGTTAACAGCTCTCTTGTTATAGGGAGCAACTGTGATTACCTTGGGGATGACAGTTATTTCATTAGGTGTATGTTTGTTGTCTCCTAAAACAAGCACTTCTACATAATGGTCATTAAATGGGGGCCCCGGATAACCCACAGGCACCTTTACAAAGTCCTTGTCCGGTAACAGGATATGGATGGAGCTGCAAAGGACCCAACATAAACTCCAGTCTAACTGCTTTGTCCATTGGAAGCAGCTGAGCCCCCTCTCGTGATTTTGAGTCTTGGAAATGATCCATCCGAGACGTGGGTCTCCTGGATGGTAGGGACACCCTGATGCACCAGCCTTCCTTTTGTTGTTGTCGCGCGGGGCTGAGGCACACTCTGACACCCGTTTCCCAGCCCACCTTGCCATCCATTTACTGGATGGTATGGGGGTAGGGGCACGAGGAGAGACAACAGAGAACGAAGCAATAGAGGACAAAATGAGGCTGTCTGATAGAGAGTAGGGACAGCTGGCCATCACATGGCCGAATTGTTTACACTTAAAACAGTGAATATTATTTCCATGCACAATTGCTTCCCCCACTCCTTTGCTGACAGCCATTGCCACAGTCTGCTCAATCGAAGTGACTTTGGTACAAGCAGTGACCATCTGAGTAATGGAAGATTCGGACTCTTGAGAGAGAGCCCTAAGAATTTTGTGTCCGGGTTTGCATTTGACATTGCCAGTTTACTCAGCAATTCGTCCCTTGCATCAACATTATCAATTTGTCTCTCGATGGTTTCCCTGACATAATCTATAAATTTAATAAAAAACTCATCCACTCTCTGATGCATTGACGAAAAATTCTGGAGAAAGAATGGAACTGCTGAGGACTTTTAGAAGCACTGTTTTAGCAGCTAATTTAGTATCGTTCAACACATCCACTGGCAGAGTGGTCTGATCCTCAGGTTTTTCAAAGGTTCCATCCCCTGAGAAGGCATTTAAAGCATCATCCCCCAGTCCATCCACCTGATGTTTCTCAACTAAAGGTTTTAAAAGTTTTTTCCACTGGTCTCCCAGAGCAAAAACTCAGTGGGAGACAGCAAGGCAGTCATAATATATCTCAAATCATGGGGGATTAGAATATGTCCCATGAATGCCAAATCAAATAAATTTTTCAAGTATGGTGAATTCCTCTCATAGTCCTTGGCTGACTTTCTCAGCTCCTTTATTTCCGTGTAAAGAATTTGCTCCCAGCGCGCATCACCATTCTGATTTAGAATGATGGGGCAACCAGCTGATCAAGATCCCTCTTCATTTCTAAGTCACCGTCCTTAACAGCCTCCTCTTGGATCCATACCCACCTGCCACCCGGTCTGGTGTTATGGCTGGGGGTGCTACCGTCCTCATTCTCCTCAAAGAATGAAGCCGTGCGAGCCAGAGTATGGAGCCTCCAACTCACCAGTGCCGCCCAGTGGCTGGGGAGCTGGCAGGCTAAGATGGCTGGCTTTCAGTCAGGCCTGCTTCTAGTTCCAGTATCATGGGAACCAGAAAAGGCAGGAGACAGAGGGGCATGGCCTCATGAGAGGCCAGACCCACCCACTGGGGCATAGACTTCCTGGAGGCCAGAACTAGCCACGGAAGACCAACCCAGGGGAAGAGTGGAAGGGACGGAAGAGGTGGAACCCGACGCACAAGATGTCAACGCGTGGGAGAGGGCGGGATCCGATGTGGGGGCAGGACTTGACACGATGGGAGGTGCCGATGGAAGGGTGGGAGGAACAACAGGAGGGGAGAGGGAGCCATTTTGTGGACTGTTAAGAGTCAGCCACGTGGTCAGTGCTGTTTTAATTATTTCACACTTACACGAACTGGGGCTTGAACTGGGGACAAGGGTCTTGGGATCAGGGGAGCAGGTAGGATCTGGACTGGGGTGGCCAGCCCCATACTGGCAAAAAGACTGAGTGGGGCAGGAGGTAGCAGGGAGCAGGTGGCAACCCTGTGCCCTTGGGCAGGATCTGTGTCCTGCCCCACCCACAGGAGAAAGGGGTCTAGGATTGGATGGGGAGGAACATGGGGAAGGAGAACTGGGAGTCCCAATTTTCCCTTTTTCTTTTACTAACTTAAGAATAGGATCGAACAAAGGATTAAATTTCCCCGCTTTGTAGTTTCCCTTTACTTGCTCTGTATAAATACATTTCCCAACTTTTCCCCAGAAAGAGACAGAAAAGGCATCTCCCTGAGAGATCTCAGGGGAGTGCTTAAACAAAAACTTAACAAAAGCTTTGACCTTCCTCTTGGAAAAAGAAATGTTCCCCATTACAAGGATAGATTGAACCTGGAGATAGAACTCCCTCTGGGCAAGGGAAAGATGTCCCCCCATTGCCCCAGCTGCTTTGAGGCGAAAGGAGAAAGTAAAACAGATGAGCCCAAGCAGGGTGTTTTCCCCAACACCTGGGTGACTCACTGAACCACAAAGCTCAGGCAAAAGGAAAGACACCTCGAGGGGCTGGTTGGCTGCTGCTGGTCCTCCTGGTTCACTGAAAGCTCCCCCCTGGAGCTGCAAACAGGTCTTCTTGGCTGAAATCCAGTAGGTTGTCGGCAGGCCAGACAGAGCAGTCCTTCTACAACAAAGCTCTCCCTGGAGCTGAGTCTGAACGGTGCTTCTTTCCTGATGCAGGAACTCACAGAGCTGCTGTGCCGAGGAGTCGCTCTCAAGGACTGGACAACTGGACAAGTGTCCGGTCCTTGTTCAGGCGCCAGCTGCGGGAACCCCTGGGCAGGTGCTGTCAGCGTGACCACCTTCTCGAGAGCAATCCCCCCATCGATCCCGACAGCCAGCTCCCTCAGCCCACCTAGCACTCGACCCAATGGAATTGGGGAAGAAAGGAGGAGCTGGGATGGGGTGACTCAATGACAACCAGTGAGAAAGGAGAGGAGAGTGGTTTCTCGGGGAGGACCAATGGGGGAACAGGAGGGGTAGAAGTTTCTGGAACCAGGGGAGGAACAGCAACCTATTGACAGAGGATTGACATTTGCATGGGCAAACAAAGGATCATGGGGAGTCTCTAATCCTGATCTACACAATGGTGTCTCCCCATGGTATTCTATCTCTGTCCTCCCCATGGCCACCTCCCACATCTGGTTACCTAACTTATGGTTTACTGTCATCTCTTCTCCTTCCGCTTGTTAAAATTTCTGGAAATCACTCCTTTCACTGAACCAAGATCTGCCTAATTTTCCTTCAACACTATATCCTTCCTATTTCATGTTTAAATTGTTTATTTCTGTATCCTTTTGTCAGCTTCACGTCACATCTGCTATTACAGCCTTCAGAATAACTACACCACACTTTATCTTCCCAGCAGTGTGATAATCTGCAAGATGAATTTCACCAGTAGATTTAATAATTTTATTTTTTAATATCCATTACTTAGCTTTAAACTATATGTGACTGTCTTAAATTTCCTTTTTTTTTCTAAAGCTGTTGTGGCACACATGCAGTTGTGCACTGTCATGGTGTTGGAATACAAGTCTGAGTCAGTTCCGATGTGAGGGCACATTTCCAACACTGTTGCTCAGTTAGCAAGAGCTATTAATGGAGGTTTCTGGATGGTGAGAAGCCTGGTACTCTACTGCTTTGTTTGGAGCCATTCAATTGTTCATCATCTTTCCCTCTGGGACTCTTAGTGGACTGCAGTCATTGGAAGAGCTGGCCTTCTGTGTGTCATACCAGAGTTCTACATTACAGGCCAGAAAGAAATCTGTCCTTAAATCACTGCCTACGTCCAGGACACCATTGAACACCGGAAACACTACTTTTGCTTTTGATGGGGTAGTGACTGCAGCAGCAGAGGCACGGATTCCTGCCAGGTGACTGCTGTACGTGTCCTGACACAGCTGTATTGAGACTCTCTGTGCCAGGTGTGAGACTTCTTGTCCACTAATGGTCATATTCAGAAAGAACGTACATCTGTAGAGATGGAATGACACCCGGCTGCCTCAAGTCAAAAACTTGCAATTTTTGTGCTTTGTGTGAAGAAACTACTTGGACCTGTGCAACAGAGTCAGGAGAATCCAATTGTGAAGAATGCACTCTGATCTATTTTACTCAAAATCCTAGATTTGATCTACAAAACTGTATATGGTTGAATTGATACCAAAACACCTTTTTGTTTTTAATCTTTTATCCTTTTTACTATTTGTTCAGAACCCCTGACATTTGAAGACTACAATTTTGAATTATTTTTCATTGAAATTGAAAGTGAAATTGAAAGCAATTATGAGAAAAACATGTGATTAAAAGCAGTGCCAAACATAAAATAACAAAAGAGCCCCACACAACTATTTACATTCAATTACAAAAGCACAGTTTTAAAACTGAAAGCATGAGAGACACACTAAAAAGTTATTTCTCAGGATCATTTGGCTGGAAGGGATCATGATGCAAGTTATGCCACTGTCTAGGAAATTCCCACTGATAGTTACCTGTGTACTTCTTATTGAGTGGTGCAGATGTGAGGAGGGGCTGAGAAGGTGTAAGAAAAGGGTCACAGAAGACAAGCATCTACAGTATAATACAGAAAGAGAAAATACAGTGGTAGCAGAGACTGAGATCTCACTGGCTGAAACAGCTCTTTTATCACTTTCCTTAGCTTCTGCTCTTCCTCCCACTCTCAAGTTGGTAAAGGGAACATATGCAAGCAGGACAGACTGCCAGTGCGGCTTGGCTTCATTTCAAAGCTGCTTGGAATGCACTCCTCACTCTCAAACAGCATGTGTTTGCTTTGTCACATCTTCCCTCATGACTGCAGCTTACTATTCACTGCACCCTCACCCTGGCTTTCATGATAGATTAGCCATCCTCGTAAAGGTAGCATTTGTGGCAGTGTGTGGCTACACCCACACCAGTCATGACTCTTTAGAAAGGAGGGGAAAATTGCTACTGCTCTAGACAAATAACTAGGTGTTCTTCCAGCAGGAGTAACTTTTGTTACATGATTACATCCTGATGTTTTGGCCAGTGCCAGTGACTACCAGGCTCTTACCTTTACTGTTTGTGTGATGGGGAACAGGCAGACAAGTTCAGTCAGGGGGAAGAATGAAGACACCTTGTTAGTGACAGTTAGGACGCGCCTGCACAATCCTAAAATAAATGCAATCCCTGTCATGGAAGGACTCTGCTCCTTACATGAAAACAAGCAACTGGTCCACAGCGAAAAAAATAGAAGGAAGGATGATTTGCTGATGATTTACTTTTTGTCCCAGAACAGATAGGCTACAACAGAACTAAATGGAATTAGAAGAAAGAGCAGCAGCATCTAATGGCTCCACTGAGGACAGCTTTTACTTTTCATATACCTTTGTTTTGAAAATATGACATTGAGAAATGTCATTCTAAGTCAGCAAAAGTGATTCTCTACTGAAGCCGAGACTGGCATGAGTTTGTTAATACACAGCATGCCATTACAGCACCTGGACATCAGTAAAATCAGTTACTTCGAGAAGCAAATACAAGTAGTTCTCTGCTGTAAACTAAAGTTCAGTTCTGATCCTCCTGAGGGGCATGAAGAACACTGTCTGCATTCATATATTCTTACCTCAGTGTGGGTCTGGGGTGGTGTACAGGGCAGCAACAGCCACAGCAAGAGTGGTGCAGAGCATGAGCAGACATGGCACAAGATCACTTGGCAGTACTAGGCTGGCTTTTGGCAAAATGACTGCAGTCTGGCTGTGCACCACTTACTTGTTCCCTTCTGCAAATCAGCTATTGCCTTGAAAATCCTTCTTCTCCTCCCAAAGAGGTGAGCTCTTTACAGAAGAATTCCAAATATCTTGCTACAACTCTGGAACATAGTGAGAAAATCTAAGTGTAGAGCTTCAGAAAGTAGTCAGGGTTCTCATAAGAAGGGCAAGGTGCTCACCAACTTGTGAGCATTCACTGTTGTCCTTGTTATGTAACCCCAGGGGCTTGACTTGGTTATGCACTGCCTCCTGTAAATTGGCTAAGCTGGTTCTACTCAGAAAAGAGTACTACTGTAACTTCTGACAGTAGAACTGGCAAAGCTGCCCCACTCCCAGAAAAAGACTAATGTTACAACTTCAGATTATTAAAACAGGCTTATATTAGCTCAACACTCTGGAAACAAAGATATTTTGATCATTGGCACAGTGAAACCGAAATTATCTTGGGGAATCAGGGCTTCCTTGATAATAAGAACAAGAGGTGAAATGGAAGTCTGCACGTATAGTCCTGCATGCTACTATGATTTCTGACCTTTCTGCAATTTTTTCCATGCATTTTTCTTTGAAACTGATGTAAAAGATTTTGGGAAATAATACCGCTCATGATCTTCACGTATTACAAAGAAATGCCTGTTTAACACAGTTCTATTCTCCCCTCTAAAGTTAAAATCTTTCCAAAATTTTGCAAGTAAATGTCTTTGCTGTAAAGCCTAGAAAAATGATCTTGCTACTTCAAATTATTTAAAATTGAATAATTGGCAGGAGCTACTATTGTGTAACTCTTCTATTATTAGTAGGAGCTACTATTGAATAACTCTTCAGTTACAGTTTTACCTAACAGAATAGCTATCTTCTACCAAACTTTTCTAAGACTTTACAAATGGTATCTGCACGTGATCTAATCTGAAGTTGTACACATGATCTAAGCTGAAGCTGTTACTTGTATTACCACAGTGTTCTACTCCTCGTTTCTACTATGCAAGCTTCTTGCAGTCATCCAGTCTTCCATGCCAGTAATTCTGCTCATGTGCAGTCTTAGCTATGTGGCACGCAGACATTTATCATCCCCGCTTTCTTTTAACCATCATGCTAGCATTTGATGCTGGAAAGATTGCTCTACTTTATGAGAGGAAACACTCTTTACAAGAGTTAAAGAATTAAAAAGGTCTTTGTTACAGCTTGGTTTTATTATTTGAAGGTCCAGTCTCTGTAAAACTCTGATCTATTTCATTGGAGCAGACTACTGATTAAGATGCACCACTTGATGGTCTACTCAGCACTTGAACATTTTAGACTGAAAAGACCTGATGGATTTTCTTGTCAGCTGATCTGAGCACTCCTCACCACTACCACCTGAGTTTGGCATAAACATTGCAAATCGCACAAGTCATAGAAAATTGAGAGAACCAGGATTTGAAAGAATAATATGAAGTCAGTTCTTTACACAGACTTCGTAAACACAAGTATCCAAGTACAGCTCTCACAGAAGTAACTTGAACTCCTCTTTCTGAGGGAAAAAAAGTAAATTCAGATTATGATAGTTTTGTTTGCTAGGAAAGCCTCTGGTTCAGTTATTGAAAAACAATGAATTAAACCAGTTCCAGAAGGCTTGAGAATTTTCAGTTAAGAAAGACATTTTTATCTACAGCAATTCACCCATTCTCTACTAAGCATTATTTTTCAATACACTTATTAGCATTTCATAAATCAGAATGAAGAATTTATGAGCTCTTTCTTGTAACAGAATTAGAAACAGTTAACTGCAAGTATGTTATTATAAAAAAAAAAAATCTATTCTACTATTCAGAAAGCTCAGTGTCAAGAGGGTTTTTTTCAGGGTGGGCATCCTTGGCTAATCATGTCTTTTTTTCTAACTCAAACTCTGCAACCTATTTATAGTTGATTTGAAATCAAGAAAGCATAATTCCCCATACCTTTTGTTCTCAATCTTTTTTACTTGTAGAAAATGACAATGTCAACCAATGTCAACCCTTAGCATCAAATGAACAGTTATTTGCCCGTGTGGTTCATGTATAGTACAAACTACTCAATTAGCTGGATAGATAAATTAATTTTAATTTTC